TTTTTTCTTATGCTCTAAACAATGTAATGACATTAAAAAATACTAAATTCACAAAGCTTTTTATTTCTGGTTCTCAGGAGGATATAAAAAGGCTTATTAATTCTCTAGTTGTTTTTAAACATAAATACTTATTTTTATTAGGTTGTGGGCTTGGATTTATATTTAGACATCGTCAAAGACACCATTTTGTAAAGGTTTAGATTTTTTTTAAATGTTGGTTTGAAATGTCAGTTTTTGCATCAATTTTACTACAGTCAAACCTGAACACAAAGACATTTTGTTACACATAACATCAAAATTCAACAAAAATGTAACGCACAGGAATGCTTTATCAGAGGTTAATCAATCTGATTTCAATCTCGAGTCTTCTGGTTCAATTTTGCCATATTGTTACAGCCACATCTGTTCATTTGTGTGTGTATAATAGTGTGTCTGTGAGTGTGTGTATTTGTGTTTGTATAATAGTGTGTGTGTGTGTGTGTCTGTTTTGTACTCTTGATGTTTTAGAGTGTCACCCCTTCATTGCTGTGCACAATTTTTTTCTGCATTGTGAATGATTTGTAGATCGTACACACAAAAAATTCTGTATATTTTCGTATTTTTGTGTATTTCCCATTCATTTCCAATGGCATTTGACCGTGAACAACACAAGTGTGACTTTTTTTACGACCCTTTAGCTTTTTCGAATCAGGTCCAAGATTTTTTTTTTTTTTTTTGAGGTCACATAATAACTGACATAAAAGTCTTCGAGTCTCGTACCATTCCGATGAAGTAGCGATTTTTTTTTAAATATCAAAACATTTTTTTTCTGGTCTAAAATGTACGGAAAACACCAGAGTGTTAAACGGGTCTCACATTCTGGTCAAGCTTCTGACAGATTACTTGGAGGCCAGCAAACCTGTTTAGGCTTGTTTAAGTTGTTTTTCTCAACAGGGACTTTTTGAATAAGTGAGCATGTGTAAATTATACACCTTTTTTTCAGACACCCTTTTTCTGGTCGCGAAGTTCCCATCTCGAATGGCTCTGGCTTCATCATAAGTAGTGATGGCCTGATAGTAACCAATGCCCATGTGGTCGCCAACAAGCGTGGTGTCCGTGTTAAACTGACCAATGGAGGGACTTACAATGCCACCGTCCAGGATGTCGACCAGACTGCAGACATCGCCACAATCGAAATCAATGCTAAGGTACCAGTGGTGCTTTGATGTACTACTGTTCCGAAGTTTGAGGTAATATATATTTAAAATTTGAAACCCATAATTATTCAGCAAGGATGCATTAAAGTGATCAAAAGTGACAGTAAAGACAATGTTCCAAAAGATTTCTTAAATAAATGCTGTTCTTTTGAACTTTCTATTCATCAAAGAATCCTGAAAAAAACTTGTATCATACTTTACACAGTTTTAAGCAGCAAAAACTATTTTCAACATGGATAATAATAAGAAATGTTTCTTGAGCTGCAAATCAGCATATTAGAATGATTTCTGAAGGATCATGTGACACTGAAGACTGGAGTAATGATGCTGAAAATTCAGCTTTCAAATTCATATAAATTATATGAATCAATCAATCAATTACATTTTAAAATATATTAAAATAGAAAACAGGTATTTTAAATTGTAATAATATTTCACAGTATTTCTATTTTTACTGTATTGGTGCACATAAGAGGCTAATATATATCTAATAATATATATTATATATATATAAAAATATGTGTGAGTGCATGACTTATTCTGTTCTTTCCTCTTCGACTCAACCCAGCATCCCCTCCCAACGCTGCGTCTCGGCCAGTCGTCTGATGTGCATCAGGGTGAGTTCGTGGTTGCCACGGGGAGCCCTTTTTCTCTTAAAGGGGTCATATGATGCGATTTCAAGTTTTCCTTTCTCTTTGAAGTGTTACAAGCTCTTGG